GCTATAATAAAAGTCTTGATCTAGGCGGTTTAACAGCAGTTATTTGGACGGATTTTATACAAACAGTGATTATGGTTATATCAGCTTTTATTCTGATGATTATCAGTATGTCATTTCTATGAATGCAAATAGTGAATTTAAATATTGAAAATAGGTTTTGTCAAAGTTGGCGGTATGCAACAAATTCGAAATCTGTTCCCGTATGCAGTTGCGCATACAACATTACATAATACCACTGAATGTGGTGTACCGAATCAAAATTATTTCTCATTAATTCGTCCATTTGACGTTGATTTACCATGGTTTGGGATACTTTTTGGAAACGGAGTTGGGTCTATTTGATATTGGAGTTGCGATCAAGTGAATTGATAGAGAGAATAATGAAGAATTATTTGTTCGAGTTCTAATATAGGTAATTGTACAACGAACATTGGCAGCAAAGAATCTTACACAAGCAAAAGCAGGTTGTCTTGTTGCGGGGATATTGAAACTTTTACCGTTATTTCTGATGGTATTTCCTGGTAGGTGATTGATCTTTTGAATGATTTGAAGTTTATTCGTAGTTTTAATAGGAATGATTGCAAGAATTCTCTTTCCAGGTATGAGTATTCCTTTAATTACATATAAAAACTAACTTTGATATAGATGAAATCGGTTGTGCTGATCCCGATGTTTGCTATCAAATTTGTCATAGTCGAAATGGTTGTAATGATATTGCATATCCACTTCTTGTGCTTCGATTAATGCCCAATGGTGAATCTTTCAGTTGTCTTTTGAACGAAAATAAATCTTTTCCTTTTCTTAGCAATTCGTGGTTTAACATTAGCCTGTATGATTGCAGCTTTAATGTCCTCCTTAACTTCGATCTTTAATTCGAGTTCAACTATTTTTACAATTGACATCTGGCAACGTTTTCGTCGAAATGCACACGACTGGGAATTGATGATTATCGGCAGGTAAATGAAGGAAAGATTTGTTTGGAAAATAATGACATGGAGTTTTATTAAAGAGTTTTCGTCATAATTCTTGTGGGGATATCGATTCTTTGGATTCCAATTATTCGAGCAGCACAAGGTGCAAGATTATTCGATTATATTCAAGCTGTTCAATCATTTTTAACACCTCCAGTTGCCGCTTGTTATTTACTCGGGATTTTATGGAAACGAATCAATGAAGAAGTAATTTATTGAGAATAGCAATTTTTTTATACTTTCGATTTCAGGGAGCATTTTGGGGTTTGATATCTGGTTTATTTATTGGAATATTTCGATTCATTTGGGAATATTCTTATACCGCAATGCCTTGTCAACTTGAGCATCTGGATAAACGTCCATCAGTAGTTCGATTTAATTTTCTGTATTTTTCAGTTCTTCTTTTCATAATCTCTGGTATTGTGACTATCGTTGTCAGTCTTCTGACAAAACCTATTCCAGAAAACTATGTAAGTTATAATTTATTTTCGTGATAGAATGCAAATGTGCTGTCTAGATATCCGGTTTAACCATTTTTGATCTTGATAATCCGGAAAAAGCAATTGAAATTCCTACTCGACCTGGATGTATGCATAAAGCAAATACATATTGTGATGAAGAACAACCTTATTCTTTTGAAAATTCATCTTCATGTCACATCGGTCAATCTCCTAATGAAACGGAAAAGAAAGCTTTACATTTTTTCGACACAGGTACCGATATCAAATCGTTTTCTTTCGAATCAAGGACAGCTTTTCTTTCAGACGACTCCACGGGAATTTGTTTTTATGTAAAAACTGCCTTTCCTTGGATTTGTGGCTTGGAAAAAACTGAACAACTCGATGGTCAATCAATCTGTTCGGATGGTAATCTACATGATAGTACCAGTAATCGACGAAGCATCACTTCAATTCGTGATGATCATGTTTCGTCATGGGATAAAAAATGTTCCTATGCCGCGATTATTATCCTTGCTTTATGTGCTTTTGTCTGGACTTTCTTTACTGATTATCGAATACGATTAAGTTAGGAGGAGAATCGTTCAATAAATTTTCTTCATCTACCAATCATAAATACATGTCGAATATAAGAGTAACAAAACTTTGTCTAAATCGAAGACAAAGTTAGTGAACTGCTGTTCACATCTGCGCAAGGTTGAAGATGGGTGTGGGTTTTGATGAAAAGAACACTTACACTCACACCCCACACCCACACCCACACCCACACCCACATGATGTACAGAAGATTTATGAGACACTGTTGGAACAGCTGGTACCAACTTTTCGTCTCTTCGAGAATTTACTACTCTTTCCACCTTCGAACGACTAATGACGTAACACCAATCACGTGTCTTGATTTATTCAATGCGACGCTGCACCACTTAAAACGATTAAGTTTCAAGTAAAGCAGATAAGCAATTTATTTTCCGCTGAAGTATCCCCACGAGCATGTTCTTCAAGAACGAATCAATATCTTCTCTTCGACATACTGCAGCAGTTAGGGTGAAGGTGAGGTTGTGAGTATGTGCGTGTGGATGGGTGTGGGTGTGCGTGTCGGTGTGGGGTGTGGGCGTGGATGTGGGTGTGAGTGTGAGCATCGTTTAAGAGATGATAGACACCAGGGCTCGAAACGGGCCACCCCGCCCGGTGAACCGGCCCGGCCCAACGAAACTTTTCTTTCGAGCCGGGCGGACAAATCGGTAAAAATTGTTGGGCCGGGCGGGCAAAGTTTTTTGTCGGGCCGCCCGGTCCGGCGTTTTAGTTAAAGTTAATGTACTTTATATCTGTTATAAATGATTCAAATTACTGAAAAAGTTTATGAAAGAAAAAATATTCGAGTTATCTACATTGAAATATTTTTTAAAAAATCTAATAATATTTCAAAGTAATTGTATGTCTCAGCCATATACTGTATTCTGTAGTATATTAATTGCATTAATTAATATGATAATATGACATAAAAATGTGTCAAAAACAAACTGTCGTTGATAATTGTCGTTACAAATGACAATTTATTCAACCCTTAAACTCTAATTAACTAGTAACTCAGTAGGAAGTGTACCACTTTTTTTGAGCGCACACTCTTTCTACAGTACAGGTCAAAAGTATCGCCCCACTTTTTTGTTTCGGGTCGTGTATCATAACAATCCAATAATTAAAATTACTTTTGTATCCCTGAATAGTAGAGGTCAAGTACTATCTATTCAGTAGTTTTAGTAAGGTACAAGTAATTCAAAAATTGAGAAGCATCTTTGTTTTGATATTTTGAT